ATTATATATATATATATATATATATATATATATATATATATATATAAAACAAAATATTTATTTTAGAAATGGTTAATTACAAGTTAAAAAAAATAAGATGTGTAAGGTGTATGTGAAATTGATCGCAGAACATATCAACGTTGCTTTAAGTTGCTTCGCAACTTTGTTGAATGTCAGTTACACTGCATGATGTACTTACTGTCTGTTTCTCATTTTTTTTATTATAGAAAAAGACAAGCAAAGATGCAAAAGGAATTGGAAGATGCAGCACGAGATACGCGACCCGTTAGTCCTGATCGTTTAAGCTTAAAAGAAGTTGCTGGTCTTCCGACAGCAGTCCCAACGAAAGTATCCGTAACGTTTGTACGTTGAATCCAAAATATGTTATGTTATGCTATTATTACGGAAGCATTAACACCAATCCGTATGTGACCTTTCTAGTAACATTAAAACAAGATTGCATGCTTTTTATGCGAATTTATATTGAGTATATGGTATATATTCTCAATATAAATTTTTAACATTTACGAAACTGCCAAATATTGTGTAATATTTAATATATTTTTAAAATCTTAAGTTTAATTAGATAATGCAAACATTTCTTTCTTGATTATTTTGGTACTTCTTAAATATTGGATCGTTTTTTTCTTTTTTACAGCCAATTACACCGTAAAAGTGGTGTAGGTTACACTCTGTGATTGTGTTTCTGTTATATGAAAGACTGTATTATATATGCTTTGTAATGTATTCGATACATCAACAATGTCCTTTTAATCATTTGTTTAACATCATATTTAATTGAATAATTAGTTTCTTAATATCAGAGGAATGACATTTTTGTACAGAATCTAAAGAAATGAACTTATTTAGGAATGTTTGAATCTACAAATTAGAAAATAAATTATTAATTTAGTTTATTAAAGGGGCTGAATATTGGAACGGGATTCTTTGGCTCTTTACTTGTATAGTTATATTAAAGTACAACAATAAAAACTAAATACAAATATTGAAAATATGATTTTTCTGTTTCTTTATCGTTATGAATTGTACTTCTTTACATAATAGTATATATTATCACAATACATACACATATACATTACTATGTGTACATATATAAAATATATTGCTAGAGTATAATATTGGTTAAGTTCCTCTTAAATTTTAGATATGTTTACGTAAAATAGTATTATTTATAGATGTTATGTGTATGTGATTGAAAATGCATAATGTTATAATTTTTATCGAAATTAGATAAGTACAACTTGTTTTTAAATATTATAAGATGCTTTTATTAAGATAGTCAGTAACCTTCTCATCCATATCCTGAGCCTATTGTTCTTTTATCCTATTCTTAACAGTTATCAGCCTCCATAAATATTTATTATAATTTTTTATTTAATTATATGTTTATTTTTTTAAATGCTTTATTTACATTTTTACATATGGGATGTTTGTTTATTTTTAAAATATATATGCTACATATATTACAATTTAGTTTTTTCTTTAAACTATATATTTTGATATAGAAAATTATTATTTAAATTATTAAATTCTGAAAATTAGAGGTATATAAAATAATGTATAAATTAGCAGAATATATTTTGTAAACAAACTTTTTATAAAACAATTTTTTTACTAGCTAGCAAAGTTAGGCAAAACATTCTGTCATTTCCTCTGTATTTTATTTATTATATCTATGATATTTTATAGTAACGTTCAGAGTTAAATAATTTTAAGAAAAATATATATTTAAAGAAAAATATAATAAACATTTAATTTTTTATATTTGTAAAACATCTATTACATCAAAATTTCATATTTTAGTATATTAATGTTTAAATTTATGATACATGCTATTCGATTTTATAATTAAATATTTTTTAATTATTTGCTAATTGCTTTTGTGTTAAAAAATAGATAGATAGAAGAAATAAAGATAGAATATTTAAGGTTGTTCAAATATATATATTGAAAGAGTATGTGCTGTTGGACATTGATTTTTTGATTTGTCTTAGGATATTATTTGTTATGCACTGTATCGAGTCTTTGTTGATATGATATTTATATAATAGATTGAATGCATGGAAGATGATCTAGCAATCTCATACATCAAGTGCTTATAAACCTTACAGAGCGCCCATGAGGGGGAAGTATATGCTGTTAAATGGTCGCCTACTGATAGAATAGTGGCTACTGGTGGTGCTGACAGGAAGGTGAAGCTTTGGAATATAACTAAAGGTAATTAAAGAAGTGATGAGATAATATATACATTTAATATTATTTAAAATTGTATTTTTTGTTATATTATCCTTTTTAAAAAAGTTTCGATTATAATTTAAGATCAAATTATATTAAAAGCATTCTATGATCTTTATTTTTACATGTTATTTATTATATTTAATAACTAAATGAGAAATGATTTTGATAAAATTTGGAGATGAAATCATTGCAATATTTCAACATTAAATATTCTGAATTTTTTAATTTAAGGAAATCTGTTTATATCGTCACTAAAGTTAATCTGAGAAAAAGACAAAGTTCTATTCATTATATCTATATCTGTAAAACTTTAATCTAATTTAATATATGGTGATGAGTTGTTTGTTCACGTTTGCTTGCTTAAATTTATTTGAAGTTTGGGAATTGCGAGTAAGAATGAAATTCGACTTTAATTCGACATTTGGTTCTACTTAATCAAGTTTTAATGTTCAATTTGCAATCTCTGATTTCCAATGCATCTAGATTTAGGAACATTTATTTCAAAACCATTTCCGTGAGACTGATCGCCAAAGGATGTAAATCGCATTCGAGACGTTGCCAGCGCGTGTGAAGAAAATGCGATTAGTCGAAGCAGTCATGCGATAAATGATCTAAGCAATATAACAATTGCGAGTATTGCGTGCAAGCGGCGGGATGACATGTTTCACCAAGAGAATTTAAGAATCTATCGGTTGTTATTTTTCCAAATTTCCGCCAGAACACGACGAGCTTGTTAGTTAGATATGGGTCCATTTTGCACGCGTACGATGTAATTTCCGCAAATCGTTTTCGTGATTTTCCTTATCCCCATGTTCGCAGTTATCAACCCTTTCATGTTCTTTTCCTTAAGCCTTGTGTCCGTAATGCTAGAAATCGATCCGCGATCTCGATGGATTGAAAAATTGGCTAATCTTATTGATAAATTGGCTGAAATAGCCTTGTGATTGGTTAATATTTTTCTCTGTCCGAAATCTCGGATAAATTTCTAACATCGTGGACATAAGGCTTTATACAGAATATTTACTACCTGGATGTCTAAAACCTGGAATTCTTAAGGAATTTATTTATGTTTTTAAAAATCAGGGAATTTTATTGAAAATCATGGAATTTTTTTGAGGTTTTTTTCTAATATTTTATAATCATTTACAATCAATATTTTATCTAATATTTTATAATCTTTATAATCAAGAATTTATTGACTAAATTGTTAATGATAATGATAAAATAGATCCATCCACTCTAAACATCAGAGAATACTAATTTTACAATTAATTCAATATTTAGACAACGATTTTATGTTAGATGCTATTTTAAATGAAGACGATAGAAATTATACGATAGAAGAAAATATATTCTACTGACATATTATATACATACATACATATATACATATATATTACACACACACACACACACACACACACACACACACACACACACACACACACACACACACACACACATATTATATATATTATTTTTGTATGAACAATTTTTTACCGGAGTTATGTATTTTTTACTTGTAAATTTGCAACGACAAAATAGTATTCTTCAAGAAGATTTACAATCTAATTCCAATAGTTTTCTTTGATTTATATACATTCCAGATTTATGTACATTCCAATAGACAATTAATAATAGCATACATAATATATTATGTTACTTATTTGTTGATTAAAAATAAAAAATCATTTTTGTACGAAATTTCCTTTGGATTCTATGTAAAAGTGGGTTACTTGTTATGTTTCTGTTCTATACGCGGGTGGTATCACTTTTTCTCAAGAGATTTCCCCACGATCCACTTAATGAAGTATGTTAACGAATCAACAGGTTACTTTGCGCGTCGTTTTAGTTCACCCTCGCGACGCCTACTGAAAGCGGCCTCGTCGCTTCTCAATCGCTTCCCATGCCATAACGAAGCGCAATCGCATATGCTATAACATTCTCGAATGTAATTCCCCTTCCCGTCTCCCGTCTCCCTTTACAAATTAGATGAAACAGTCGTCCTTATTGTATGAGTTATATCCGCTTAGCTTGAGATCTGTTATTCTGGAACTACACGCATTCTCCATTTCTCGGCTTTGTTCCGCACGCTTCTTCATTGCTCTCTGCATCTATCTCTCCGTCCTCTCCCTCTTCTCTCTCTCTCTCTCTCTCTCTCTCTCTCTCTCTCTCTCTCTCTCTCTCTCTCTCTCTCTCTCTCTCTCTCTCTCTCTCTCTCTCTCTCTCTCTCTCTCACACTACGTATTCTCTCCCTTTCTCATTCTCTCTGCCTATTTTGAGATGCTTATAACTTGCTCCCTTCAGATTGAAGCTCGGCTTACTCGCTGCCAATTAAGCCGTCAGGGCATAAATTTAATTAGTCATATTCAGAGAATAACGCGCGATATGGATGGAGGGAAGGAAAAGAGACAGAGATGCAGAGTGAAATGGAGATCAAAGTAATTAATGGAGGAGGCACACGTAAACGCGAATTAGAATTAAACTCAAACGTCGTTACGTAATGACTTGGTCATCGGTAAGATGACTTGAACCTGAACGTGAACAATTCTATTGTAGATGTGTCGGAGAGTAAGGGCATCCTCGTTGGCAGCAACGCCGGTGTGATGTCAGTGGACTTCGACTCGACCGGCACCCTCATCCTTGGAGCATCCAACGACTACGCGAGCCGCGTCTGGACAGTCAGTGATCTTCGCCTAAAGGTAAGTTTCTGCATCTATTGACCTATTGCGTGTCTTCAGCACACCTCCGGAGCAACACGAAAGCTCAAAGAGTCATTACAGAATGGCATGAAAGGACGTTTCAAGATTTAAGATTGTGTGCATAAGATTGTGGTGTATTTTACATGAAAAAAAAATGTTTTGCTAAAGCGCATACAAACTTAATACATATCTAAAAATAATTTTATTGAACTATCAAAAAATTATATAAGATAGATAAATTGATTGCTAGGATATTAAAAATTTTTATAATATTATCATCGTGTTTATTGAAATTCTGCATAATAATTTTGATAGTCCAAAATAAAATTTTTTTTAGCTCTGTATTTGGTCAAATTTTTAGCAAACCTGTTCTTTCCATGTAGGATTTCGTGTTCCTTTTAGGTTTTCTTCTGAATGATATAACTTTCGAGTAACATCGTGTTACAGAGAAACAATGTTCAGTAGAACGTTGTCTCGTAAATACAACTCTGCAATTATGTTACGTAATTGCCGCGTATATTAAATTCTGTGTAATGAACGAAAACGGATGAAGAGAAGGAAAAGGCACAATGCTATAAAAATTGCGATGAGATTGATCTCTTCTGTATTTCTATTACAATTTTTACAGAAAAAATTTTAATTAAAATTTAAGTGAAAAGTTTTACATAACGCGAAAGAATTCAGATATAAAATATAGTATAATAATCACCTGCGCGCACGCTTTATAACGTTTACAAGTCGCTAAAAGAAATATATTTTCAATATCTGGGAAATGCGTTGAAACAAGTGACATCACAAATGCAGAAATCGATTATTGGAAAAAAATGAGAAGTTTTAAGCATTATTTTCATTTGCAAAGCGTATTTCGTTTTTTGCGTCATATCGTTAATATCGATAACTGTTTTTAAGGCTTCAAATTCTCGATTGCCATTCAAATGCTGCTCGTTCGTAATTATGCCATGGTATATTCTATGGATACTCACGAAAAGCCGAATGTATTACGGAATTAGCGGCTTTATCCCTCTCATGGAGAGATGGGACGTTCCGACGATACTCGGACGAAATATTGAAAATTCATCTAACAGCGTTGAGTCACAAATTTTTTTCAAGTCCACAGATTACGGATGCAGTATCGAAATTACGTGAAAAGTCGTAAATAAACCGATGTGGACGCGGACACGTTCTATTTTCTTTTTTTTTTTCTTTTTACAAATGGGATATTATCGATTCTTTAACTTGTTTTTGTAAGATTATTGACGAGATAAAAAACTGTAGTTGCAATTACAATATATTGCTTAGATTTATTATAAATTAATATGAAATAATGATGTCTAAACAAAAAAAAGAGAAGAGCATTAATTATGCCTTTTTAAATTTTATTTACCTTTCAAAATATTTTTCGCATATGTTCCTTCAGATTAATTTCGTTATCTTTGAAAAATTTCAAATAACATTTGGAACGCTATACGGCGTATTTTTGATTTTTGTTTATTTGCGATAATTTGCTCTTTTAATCAACCGCGTGTTAGACCATAAGCGTACCTCTGCCCGTACTCAATCAGGCTTTCATACTGTATTGCGCCAGGTATAAAAAGAAGTTACATTAAGATGGAACAAATGCCTTAACAACTGCAGTAATGAGACGCGCTCGTCTCTCGTCCCCGTGAAAACGTGATTGGCTGTACGGACGTGTCTCAGGAAGTGCATAAAGGGACGTCCCGCAAAACATGCATTAAATTACAGGTCTGTTCCGTCGACGAGACAGCCCGTGAATCTACCGGCAGTAGAATATGAAATTTATCGTCACCTTCTTCCCTCGCGATCTATTACGGCGCGGCTCATGTAAATCCCGCGACGTTGGCGCGATCGTAAAGCTAATGACAATTCGCAAAAAAGTCGAGCCAGAACCAAATCGCTCTGTGAACCTTATCGCGGATCGTTACTTCTTCGTACGTTCTATTCGTATATAGTATGCAAAAGGTGATTTGACGTTTCCCGTCTTTTTTGATCTCTCTCTGTCCGAAGTTTGCTCCCTCGCTTATTTTCTCTCATCTTCGCTACTCTCTGCGTCTGTTTTCTACAACGCAGAAGAAAACTTTTGATACGCACGTCAATCTTTTTCCGTAGCCCTATATCTTCTGTTCTGAAAATATACTATTGAAAAATGTTAGAATGATGAGTCATTGATCGAGACGTTCCAAAAATATCTGAGAATGTTTGATATCCGGGAATATTGAAATTCACTTTTTCAATAATGTTCTGCAATATCTGTCATTTTTTTAGATGATTCCTGATGGCCTATTTACACACAGATTTTTTTTTTACGCTGCGATACATTAGTGTGTGATTTCGAGACGGAAGATTAATATGATTCAATATAATTCAAAAACGGATAATTGCACATTTGTAACTCAACAAATTTTTATTTCCACGTAATATTTACTTTTTATTAATTTCTAAAAATTTAGCTTATTAATTACCTGACCACTGCAGGCAATCGATAAATTATCAGTAAGCACTTTCTTAAATTTCCAAATTATATAAATAAGCTAGCTTATGAAGTTTCAATCTCACGCAAAAACAATAACGTGATAAAAGCTTTAGTTAGGCGATGCGTGTCAAATGCGACGGTCAAAGTTTAGCATATGACAGTAAATGCTTGATCACTATTAATGCACGTTATTTCCTTTGATCTACGCCCGAAGCCGGGCTCTCGTATGTAAGAACTTAAGTACATGGTCTGTCGATAGTCGGCGGCATACACGGGCGCGCGGGTCGTGTATAGAGGAGTAATCAGGGATGATCGATCGCGATGAAACTTTGAGTCCCACGCCGTACGTATGGTACCGACCTGCGCACCTCGTTACTTTGATAGGATTGTCAGAGTGTCGTACTGATGTAACATGATTAAACGCTGGGAGCAACCGGCGATGATTGTCGGCGAAGCCGACGGGAATCGACGGATGAGAGAAGCTTCTGCTTCTCGCGCAACTTAGTCCTCGCCGATTCTAAATGAAACGGTACTTTGATTCGTGCCGTGTATATGACCGAATCTGGCTGGCTTGATTTTGATCGAAAGCGTTTCTCTTACGGGCAGATCTTCCGTGAGAGATCCGTCATCGACATCTAATCGATTCGCCGCGTTGCGTTTGCAGGGACACGCGGGTTTCGCAAGTAACTGATGGTCGAGAGCGAATATTAATAATACTGAGAGAGAGAGAGAGAGAGAGAGAGAGAGAGAGAGAGAGAGAGAGAGAGAG